CCCCCCCCCCCCGTCTCTCTCTATATTCGGGGTCTACAGGGGAGGCTCTAAGCCAGTCGACAGGCATCGACACGCCAGAGACTTTTTGCGGTGCACAGAACAGAACCAATTTCATTCATGAAACGCCTTCAAAGGATACGGTGCCGCAGCAGCAGCGATCGCGTCGAGGTAGGTAGAAACGCCTCCGATGCTGAGGAATTTCTTGGGGGAAATTTTCTCTCGGCGCAAGAAACCACCAGACCCTTCCTCAGTTGCGATACAACGCACACGGACCAGAGCCTTCATGCGAAAAATTCAAACAAAGTTGAGGTGCTGGTGAGCCTCCGCTACGGTACCCGCACGATTATCGGAGCGCTTTTGTCTCGTACCTCGCCGAGCATGCGTGTCCAGTCCATACCATCAGAGAAGGAGTGCTCGAAGTTTACCGCCATCTTGCCATTCTTGAGCACCACCTAGATATAGAGAGGGCAGGACCACCATCAGTACCAACGAAATAGCCATCGCGCCCGTGGGATCGACCAAGGCCAACGGATATCAACGGAACGGCGATTACACCACAAACACATGTATAGCGTTGCGCGAATGCTGCCGCGCTTGGCAGAAGCTCGTTCATCTGCGGAGCAAAAGTGGAGTTGCAAAGCGGACAACACAGCGGTACCTTCGATTATGGCCGAGAGGCAATTCTCGCTTGGACCTGCCGCACCCAGCGTGCCGCCTTAAGTGGGACAAGTCTTCCATTGGCGGAGGCGTCGAATGAACCGCAAGGATATCGAGTCCCATCCACGACACAGGCGTTTGGGGAAAATACGTCCCTTTCGGGGCCGAGGTATCACCCAAGAGGTGTGAAGCCCTTTCGGGTTGAAAACAACATCGTGTCTTTCACCGACGCGGCACACTCTGCTGCTGATACGCAACACCTCGCACTCAACACGCTGTGTAGCATGCACTATACAGCAGAGAACCGACACTTTCAAAATACAAGTATTACATTTGCTCTTCTGACCGCGACAGTGTAGCGAAACTATCGCTACTCAGGCGCGGGCCAAAGCAGTCCCGCACGGCGAGCGCGCTTGCGTGTCGTCGACTGGAAAACCCCAAGGTGGCTGGCGAACCGGCACTGTTGTATTCCGGGTGCCGCGTCAAGGGGAAGAGGGGGCACTGGACATGCCAGTCGTACGCACCAGCTGGTGCTTGTCGAACCACCTGTTGCGACCCCCGTCTCCGGTAAGAAACGCGCGAGATTCGGCCTGCAGGTCCGGGGTGTCGTGGTCGTCGAGGGCAACGGCAAATATTGCCGAATCGATCTGTAGGCAGGAGCATGCGTGACAGACAAGATAATCAGATAGAGAGAGGGAGAACGGGCGGAGTAGAGAGAGCGCCGGAGAGGAAGGAAGGCAGACAGACAGGCAGACAGG